CTGTTCCAATGTCCAGGATGCTTGGAATTCTACCGAGGCCAGCGTCCTTCGTTGCGGGACATTTCGAGGCTGCACATGTGTATCCTCCGCGGTCTTAAAATCCCCACAATGCTTTGCGCACGGACCAATTTCCCAAATCTTTGGCGGAAATCGCGCTCCATTTAAGGCGGGGCCTCGCATATGACGCACACCTGTTAGCCTGTTCCACCATTCTTCGTTTTCCGAGGCTAGGAAGGATTCTTGCATCGCTTCTGAAGAACCTGTGTCCTACCAAGGAAGCGTCCTCGACATTGAGAAACACCCAGAGTGAAATGAGCCAGAAGAACCTAATTGGCAGCCATGATAAAAGCTGTTCTCTAGATGATAGGAAAGGGGCTTCAATGCTTTCTTTGTTATCTCCTCTACCTTAGGATGCATTGGACCATCCTTTACGAAAGGAAAGGAGATAATGCCGTCCAACAATTCCCAAAAGTGTAACACCATTCGCCTGGTGCATCATAATTATGTCGGCTGGTGTGCTGATGAATTCTCCTTCACATCTTTCCTTCATTCAATACACTTGTTCACACTGGTTGTGAAAAGTGGTTTGGAAAACACATAGGACATGATTTTTTCGAGCACTCCTGTCTGGAGAGGAGGGCGTGTCCTTTCCAGACAGGAAGTGCTCAGGTGCAATCACTTGACTTCAACGAGAGGCTTCATGCGCTGCCTTGCTTCCTTTGTTTGTCGTTCTCTTTTTGATTACTGCAGACATGTTGTTTGTGTCCTATAACTGATTTTCCTTAATTCATATTCGATAGATTGTTATTACTGCAGACAGTTTCGGTTGAGAAATGTGATTTAAGTTAATGATTTTGCTCTCTTTTTGCAGAGCTTACACCACACACACAACAAAATAAATACTCACTAAGCTTACCCAGTACCCTTTTACATGTAACACCTAACAGACAGGTATGTCTTGGATCATCTCCTGTAGTTACAAGACTTTGTAGAATGAAAGTCGTAGTAGTTTAGGAGCTTTAGCAGGAGAGCTTCAGAAAATAATTTCTCGACACAGTATTTTTTCTTGTCAGTGAGGTAGTCCATCCAAATTTGGGAATCAGAGAGCGGTGATGAGTACAAAATGTGTCATTAGCGATGAGGCGTAAACCATAAAGTGATAAACACAGTTTAGCTGCTGAACTAATGACGGGGCACATGAAAGTGTGGCATATTCCAAATATAGTTTATTTTTTTCATATTTATTGGTTACTGATGAATAACTGCTGCCTATTAGCCGCATTTTAATGTGGTGGTTTGGTGAGATGGAACTAATCTTAAGCTCTTTACTTTAAAATAAACAAAGAAAAGTGATGTATCGACATAAGAACATGCACAGATGGGACGCAACGTTTGCTGCAGGCTTTGGAATTAAATATGAATTGATGTATTTTCAGCCAATTTACAAGCTGACTTCATTTGTTTTAAATGTCAAAGGAAGAAAAGAATACCATTTCCCAACAAGAAATATAAGAACAAGCAAGGAGAATGAATTCAAATTAAGATTACACACTAACAAAGGGAACTTTTGCAGACCATTTACGTGCACACAAACCTATATAACACACGACAGGACAGGGAAAACCACATAAAGCACATATCTTAGTTTAATATGTACTGTTGGGAACCATGCACCATATTTTCTAAGTTGTAAGTTTGCAGAATAACTAGTCGCTGTGAAATACATGGTGGTGGTTAAAAGCAAACATATTCATCTCTGTAATATAGTGAGTATACCTGAGTACAGAACTTAAGTAAATGTCATTTGTTACTCTCCACCTGCTCTCCCGTCTCTCTATCTCCATCCTCCTCCACATCTCTTTCCAATCTCTTTTCAATTTTTTTTATTCCCCCCTCGTCCCCAGCCCCATTCCCAGTGCTCCTTTTTTCTCTCTCTCATTCTCCTTACTCTTATCACAGCTTTCCGTCTCCTCCCTCCCTCCCTCCCTCCCCCTTCTTCTTCTTCTCCCTGGAGAATAGAGGCTGTAATCTTCTCTGTCTAATGCTGTCAATAGCTCTCAATAACAATGAAATAGCACCGGTTCCATCCCATCATTGATGAAGGCATATCCTCAGTTAGGATCTTATTCGTCATCATGGCAATCTGCCTCTTGGTAATAGCCAATCAGGTGGCTCCTGTGAAATGCACTGCTCCCCTGATAGGTTCCCTGCAGGTTTGATCGACTGCACCTGAAGGCCCGCCACCTCAGCTGCGCCCGATCAATACGCCATCACACACACTCATCCTCATACATGTGCTGAAATGAACACACATGTCTGGAAGCCACGCACACACGCACGCACACACGCACACACACACACACACACACACACACACACACACACACACACACACACACACACACACACACACACACACACACACACACATACACATACACATACACACACACACACACACACACTCTCTTTGGGGAAGGGTGAATTGAGAAAGCGACCACTGATGTAGGGAGCAAACAGCACACAGTAGCAACAGAACAATGAAGTAGCTGTGTTGCTCTCACTGTGTGGTCAGAATAATAAGCTGTACATGTACACCATTATACAGTACATAGTGTTCACCATTTGATCCACCTTTATTAGAACATACTGTATATGATTTAATGAATAGAAAGAGGGAATAAATGACTCCCACTGTGTGCCAGTTATTATATGCTGTGTCTCACATACAGATGGCCCTGCATACGTTCTGCCACTGCTCACTTTGAGCTGCGGTTACAATAATTAGAGCAACGCAGCCATCTGCACAGTATGGCGCATGCTATTAGCATTACAGACATGTTTGTGTAGCCGCTTGCCCACCCTTTGACACGGCACAGGAAGAAAGTCAGGTCAGTAATCGTGATGAGGGATTCGAAGCACAGGGTTACAGATTTTTGTGTGCTTTGAACATCAAAGCTAAACAAGTGTTGGAGAGGTGAGCCCAGAAAAAAGAGATTAGAGGTGGAAGGGACGTTCAGCACAGTGACGGCAATGCGTATTATCTGCCTCTTTGATGTTCAGACTAGTGTATGCACAAACACACAAGACTCATTTTCATCCCCTCATGTGCTTTTAAAGGTCAGAGGTCAGATTTCTACCACTCCTGCATGTCTGTGTTTACAGCTGAAGGGTCAATTGAAGGTCATGAACTGACTCTTTCAGCTGTCTGTCAAATGTGTCGAGAGTTAGACTGGTTGACCAGCTTTCCCAGGTCAACTGTTCCCCCCCCATCCTCCCTGTCTGTCCCCCTCTCCTCTGTATTCACCCTTCCCTTCATCTCTCTATCCTTTCACACTGCCTTGTCAACACGTCTGTCAGAGCGAGGCCTTGTCACTCTGCTTAGCACCACTGAGGCTCAGCTGAGCTTTCTTCGTGTCTTTTTTTTGTGTGTGTCTGTTTGGAGGTCGAGGTCGGGGCTATGTTATAGAAAAAAAACATGAATGTGGGCTAGGGGTGCATACCGGTTCCTGGTATTACCGAAATACCGGTTACTAGCGGCTACGGTATACTGTACCGAAATCAGATCCGGTTTTCGATACTTTTTCGAAAACTTTTTATTTTTGTATTTTATTGTTTTATATTAAGTTAGGCGTAATATCCTTAAACTCAAGCCCAAACCGCCAGCCAATCAGATTGCGCGTCTTGCAACGGCTTCGGTGATTGGCTTGATTGCCAAGCAACGCCCTTCACCTTCCTCCCGAACGTCTGAGCCTTTCGGTTAGCTTTCGTTTTTTCATTAGCTCGATGTCGGCACGGAAATCTAAAGTGTGGCTGCATATGACTGCCAGTCTGAATGGTGGGGTCTGTAACCACTGCCAGTCTGAATGGTGGGGTCTGTAACCACTGCCAGTCTGAATGGTGGGGTCTGTAACCACTGCCAGTCTGAATGGTGGGGTCTGTAACCACTGCCAGTCTGAATGGTGTGGTCTGTAACCACTGCCAGTCTGAATGGTGGGGTCTGTAACCACTGCCAGTCTGAATGGTGGGGTCTGTAACCACTGCCAGTCTGAATGGTGGGGTCTGTAACCACTGCCAGTCTGAATGGTGGGGTCTGTAACCACTGCCTGTCTGAATGGTGGGGTCTGTAACCACTGCCAGTCTGAATGATGGGGTCTGTAACCACTGCCTGTCTGAATGGTGGGGTCTGTAACCACTGCATGAAGTTTATTTCTGGGAAAGGCGGCAACACATCCAACCTCTCAAAACATTTGCTACTGTCACATAAAATCAGAGTACAGGAATTTACAGTCTTCAAGCCCGTGTTGTCAAACGTGTTTTTCATTGTTTGTTCAGTACTAAAAGGTCGAAGTCCCACAATTAATTGTAATATTCATTTGACATTTTAACTATATCATAAAGCGCTTCAATTGTTCCCTTATGCAACATGAAAGTATGACGCTATGTATCGGTCGAGTATCGGTATCGTTCAGTGGTATCGGTATCGTAAAAAAGTCAACGATATGCGTCGTGGGCTCAGGCGTGTGTGGATGAATAGAACACGGTCGTACTTGTGTCTTTGTGTTTGATCTATTACTGTATCTGGTATATACTTGTGTATGCCCTTGTTTGTATGTGTGGAAGTGTGGAAGTGTTTGAGTGCCTCGATGTGTGTGCCAGCTGTTGTAAAGTCGTCTTTAAACCCCCTGGAGATCCCTTCATGGCTGAGTCCTGTCACTTCTAAAGGCAGTTTCTCCACCAGAGACATGAAGAGAGATGTGCGTTTATGTATTTTATTATTAGACAGGCGATGTGCATGGGACTGGGCTGCCTCTGTGGTGTGACAGAGAACATCTTCATAGGCTATTGTATGTGTTGTCACATTGTTGCTCCCACGTCATTGAAATGTGACAGTGCAAACTAAAGATAAGCCGCAGAATTAGAAGAAAGGGAAATTGTTTTATGCCAGGAGAATGTTGATGTGTCCAGTAACGTGTGTGTTGTGCCCTCCCTTCCTGCAGGTGGTGGTACAGGCAGCCAGCAGACCGTTCTCCATGAGGAGCAGTAGAAGATGCCGGCTCTGCCAGCACTGCTGCTGTCAATACACTTCCTCTTCCTCCTGCTAGTCACCATGCCGCCACGCTCCCTCGGTCAGACCCCTGTGCTCTCCTCCGTCCGCATGGGTGAGCCGTCCCTCCATCCTCACTACATAAGAAAAATATCTCAACATACTTTTCCTGGTTGGTTTTTGGGCTCTTTAGGTGACTCAAAGTGGGTTTTGCCACTTTTGTTAGAACATCAAGAGATAAAATGACTTTCAAAGGCCAAAAGTGCACTAATAATATACTTTTTTGTGTCCAATCTCGTTATACGGAAAGATATTTCACCATGCAAGTGATCCATGATACAATCTTATTAGAATAACTACTTTTTCATCTACTGTATGTAAGCAGGTGTGAGATGTTCTCCGAAGAAAGGCTCCATCATGAGTCTGACACCTTCAACAACACTCATACATGATTTATTACATTTCAATTGGTTTCCTCATACAGATGTAACAATTCCCTCCGAGTATTCGAAAAATAGGGTTGCCATGATATCAGATTTTCACTTTGCAGTAATTGTAGCTTCAATCATTTTCAACAACGATATTTCCACAATGTCTATAGGGAATAAAAAAGAGGAATCATTTTCAATCCTAAAAATGTATCTACCTCTTTGTTCGTTTCGGTGGATGAATTATACAAAAGATATGATGTGGAAATGGATAGAGAGTCTGTACCCATAACTGTAGAAAAATGTACAAAAAGATTTGAGAAAGAACAGAAAATGATTCAAGAAGCACTTGGGTATTAAACAATGTGTCATTTTAACATCATATCAATTTTAAATGTTTATATATTTTGGCTACAGTCAATGCCAGTTCATGGCAACACCCCTTACTTCGAAATATTACATTTTCTATAAGAAGTAAAGATTTGAGTCTGACCAAAATAACACATTGTCCTGCCAATGATCTAAACACATCTTAGACTAAAGGACATGAGCTTACAACCTAATAAGGCTGTCCAGCAACATCATCTCTGACCCAAACCATGTTCTGAACAGCGAATATGAACTGCTACCATCTAATGGGAGATACAGGGTCCCACGATTCAATAAAGTCAGACTGAAGCACTCCTTGGTGCATCAGCCAATCCTCACAGTAAATACAGAGCTGATCCCAGATCAAATGCACGCTGAAGGGTCTTTGAAAATGTTTTCTCTCAGTGATTGTGATGTTATGTTCAATGTTTGTTGTTTGTTTTTCATGTATTGTGTCTTGATATGTGTCTATGTTGATGTTACACATGGAGCTGCTGTGATGCAAGTCAAATTTCAGACTTGATCTGACCAATAAAGTATTATCGTATCGTATCGTAAGACATACATAAAAGCACAACAATCAATATATACAAAATAACAGTCACTTCAATATCTTTGGGAAATGTACATTAGTGCACTGAAGTGGTAATATGACATTTTGGGGAATACACTTATTTGCTTTCTGGCGGAGAGACCTTCACACTTCGTAATATATAATTTTGTATAAGAAGTCAATATTTTTGTCTGACCAAATAACACATTGGCCAGCCAAAATTATCTAAACACATCATAGACTAAAGGACTTGAACTTTGTAGCAACTAAATAACAACTACACACACTGAAATGGTAGTATGACATTTTGGGAAATACACTTATATGCTTTCTGGCGGAGCGACCGATGAAAGACCTTCACACTGCTCTCCTTCCCTTTCCGCCTCTCTAGCGGCGATCCTGGATGACCAGTCTGTGTGTGGGCGGGGGGAGCGGCTGGCGCTGTCCCTGGCCCGAGAGAACATCAACAGCGCCATGGAGGGTCCGGCCCGCACCCGGGTGGAGGTGGACATATACGAGCTGCAAAAAGACTCCCAGTACGACACTACCGACACCAGTGAGTGGGGCCGACGCATGCCAAAGAAAACCAGCAGAGCGGAAACATCCAGGATAATGACTGATAAAGTCCTGCTTAATCTATGACAGTCCAGCAGGGCATAATTAGCCCAGGCAGAAAGTGACCACTAAAAATACCAGTAGTTATTATTATTAATATGGACTATTAATATTTATAGCGACTGGCTAAGAGTGGAAAAGGAGTCTACTGCAGTTTTGATCCCACTTAAAAAGGCTGATGATATTTTACAAAAAAGATAATTACATTTCGGAAAAAAAGCTGCTTTTTTATGAGCAAATGATGTCCGGATAGTTAAAACACCCCCACTTTCGTGTGATTAGCAACCAGTAAGGGCGTTTGCTGATTAGTTTACACGTCATTGGAGACCAGTAATGGGCCAGTAAGCTTGTCTCATTAAAAACAGTGGACCAGTGCCCTGCAGTAACAGCTGGCTCTGCCTACTGTGCAGGACACGGCAACAACACATCATCAAACACTAACACAGATCAGCAGCACAGGCCAGCAGAAAGCAGCAGCAGCACAAAGGGCCGCTCCATGACACTTGTATTGATACACAGATTTAAAACAGAATATTTGGAGAGTGTAAAGACTGAAGAAGTGCTGCTGAATCCAGCCACTGAGCAGACAACAGGCTCCCTGCTCCTATTCTAATAGGTCCCCGACCCTGCCACGAGCTACTGGCAAAATGTCTGTGTGCTGAAGATGGGGTGTGTACATCTGTGCATGCTTGAGTTGTGTGTGTTCTGATGTGTGTGTGTGTGTGTGTGTGTGTGTGTGTGTGTGTGTGTGTGTGTGTGTGTGTGTGTGTGTGTGTGTGTGTGTGTGTGTGTGTGTGTGTGTGTGTGTGTGTGTGTGTGTGTGTGTGTGTGTGTGTGTGTGTGTGTGTGCCCTTGACCGATGGGCAGGAGACTTTGACAGGCTTGTTTGCTTTCGGCTTATTTTGGTCTCTGGATCAGAGAGCTCATCATCTTACAGCTACGGCTGTCTGAGGCACACACACACACACACACACACACACACACACACACACACACACACACACACACACACACACACACACACCCAATCACACACATTTTCATACACATTTTCACACACACACATTTTCACACACACACACAATCATGCACATTTACACATGCATGCACACACATCCCTATCTTCAGACACAAATGCACATTCACACGGTGTGGGCGCACACACACAGAGGCAGTGGCAGCGACTGAGGACGACTAATTGGGATGAATTAAAATACCAACCAAATATACCAGCAATAAAAAGAGCTTTATTACTATAAGAATAACGCAGTTAACTCCACAGACTCATTTCTTCTGGATCTCTGAAAGCTGTTTTTTTTTTAGGTGGGTAGACAGAAAACAGTAATAAAAACTCATTAGACTAAAAGATACTGTGCAAAACAAGTTAGACTGTGGCGCAGGGGGTAAATAAGCTTCTACCAATCAGAGGGTTCGATCCCACCCCCTGCAGTAAACATGCCGAAGTGTCCTTGAGCAAGCTGTCCAACCCCTTAGTGCTCCTCGGCATGTCTACAAAATGTCAGCTAGATTACCATTTATTTAATATTCGCTTTATGGTAAATGATGAATTTATCCTTTTTTTGGAAGACTGGTCAATGGTAGCAAAATATGCTTATTGCTTTCTTGTTGAGAGTTAGATGAGACCACTCTGAAGGCTTCATACGACTGACTAACTACAGTCTGCAGCCGGTTAGCTTAGCCTAGCTTCATATTTGTCGTCCAGTCTTGAGACATTAGTCTTCTCCTCTGACTCCTGGCAGGAAAGTGAATAAGCGTATTGATCAGTTACAGAGACTGCAGGCTGCTCAATTAGTCAAGTGTAAGACAGATGATGACCACAACTGTCCTGTAACTAACTTTTAATCATTAATGTATATGTTCAGCATAATGGAGACAATTTAAAAAGCATCAAGTTTTTGACCTTAGCTGATCTTTGTCAGGATTTCAATGAAGAGAGAGTAACTGAGCCTTGCCTTTTAATACATTATTTCAGAGGGTTGTGCTTATTGGGTGATTAGGGTATTAAGTGTGAGACTATGAGAGTCCTTCAGAATTTTTAACAAGTTAAATTGAAAGTTCATAACCAGAAAAGAAAGGATTTTTACTTTTACTTTACTTAAGATCCCCCTACAGAGTGTACTTCTGCGAATATCACTAATCTTCTTGGGGTCAAAAGAAAAGCCATTCAAACATCACATTATTGACAATAAAATAAAATATTTTTTAAAATCAGAGTAAGTGAATAGATATCTTACATTCATACTTAAGTAAACATGGCAACCTCCTAAAAACCTTAACTTACGTTGATAAGATGTATTAAACAAAAAGATAATTTCTTCCCATTAAGATGGGAATATGGATATAGTGGAGACTTGTTGTCATATGGAGGTTTTGGAGAGTGAAATGTATGCTTGAACTGCATCAATAGAGATGTTGTTAGGTTGAGCCTCTCCTGAACAAAAGTGTAAAATCGTTTCCCGCCTCCCCCACATCGATGTCTTTGTGCAAATAATTATGCAAACTGGCATTTGTTATTCGAAGGCGACCATCAGTCTGTTACGATTGTTCTAATGCCAGAGATATAATAACATTCAAAATTAATGTTTCAAAATCATTCAAATCAATAAAAAGAACTGTCTTAACAAGTGAATAATCGCAGCAGGCAACCCTGGCCTGCCCTGCTGTCGTCCCCGGAGCATTCGTCTCAACATAAATCTGATTATAATGAGACACATCGTGCTGCTACAATAGAAGCAGTGCTTAAAGTGAAATACTAATGCAACTTCTGAGTTTTTTTGCTGCATTTTGAATGTCCCCTCTTCTCCCCTGACTGCAGCTGTGTTACTGTATGCCAACTGCGAGCTGCCATCAAACTGTAGCAGAGGGAGAGGAATGTGTCTGCATATTCAATGTGTATATCCCCCCTTCTTCCCTTTCAGTGTGTCAGATTCTACCCAAAGGCGTCGTCTCTGTGATAGGTCCCGCCTCCAGCCCCGCCTCCGGTTCTACTGTCAGTCATATATGTGGAGAGAAGGAGGTGAGTGTGGAGGATTAACACACACAGATTTCATGTAAACATACAGACAACTAGTTCTTCTTCCTCTCTGACACACTACCCCTCCTACCCACACACACGTCATGATGAATGTCTCTAAAGATGAGTTTTCCTCGCATTTCTTCTCATATAATTATCCATCATCCAACTGCTTTCTCCCCGTAGCCTTTTATATTCAAGGTGCCTCTTCCATCTATCTTTCCTTTCTTTTTCTCCCTCTGTAGCCTTCACTAATGGATGGTTCTTCTTATTCACAGTTTTTTCCTGCTCGAGTGTTAGAAGGGGAGTTAATCACGAGACATTTGCCTTCCTTAATGTTCCTCTCTCCTCTCTGCCAGATCCCTCATGTAAAGATCGGTCCGGAGGAAACTCCCCGCTTGCCGTACCTGCGATTCGCCTCTGTCACGCTGTACCCTAGCAACGAGGACCTGAGTCTGGCCATAGGATCCATCTTACGCTCGTTCAGTTACCCATCAGCCAGCCTGGTGTGTGCCAAGGCTGAGTGTGAGTACACGTAGTTCCCCTTCTATTGTTATCAAATCAAATCAAGTTTTATGTATAAAGCACATTTAAAAAACGATTTTCGGTCGAGCCAAAGTGCTGTACATGTAATAAAAGCACACTACAATAACATAAGAAAATGAAATAGAAAAGACAAGAATTTACAACAGAAAGATAAAGACAAAACACAGAGAAATGTCAGGTGTCATGCTCAGCTCTGACTAGAAGGCCAGAGAGAGTGTTGCACAGTACTTTATGTGCAACTGCATAGCTGTGTTTGTTGTTTAGGTGGGTGTAAGTGCATCAATTGTGTTCCAGCTATACCGACTATATATCTGTGTGGTTTTTAACGTGTGTGCGTGCAAATGCCTCTGTGGGAGTGTTGGCACATTCACACAGTTTGGGCGGATATGACTGTTTTGCACGGTTGGACACTCATTTTGACAGTCTGGTCATGAAGTTCTGTCTGTGGTCCGAGATCACAACACGGCTCCTGCTGCTGCTCTTCTATTTTTTTCAATGCTCTTGCACACTGTCTCTTATTCACCTCAGAGGGTTTTTCGGCCAAACCAATTTCATAAATATTCGTGTTTGAAATGCTTTCCGGTATTGGAAGAACTTAGGGGACATTTGATTTAACTTGCCAGGCACTCAGAGAGCTTTAACATCACAGGGGAATTGGGGCTTAGTCACTAGCCCTCTTTATTTTCATTTTGAAAGAGTGCGTTATTGATTTATTATGCACTGCCCCAGCGAGAGTAGAGGGAATTAAAGGGCTTGGTCCGACGGTGGCTGTAGTATTTAAACAAAGCTCGAAATAATGTATGCAGTAGGAGGTGAAAAATACTAATTTCTTCCACTGAATAGTCATCTGACATTATGTGTGTGAGTGAAACTGAGCTGTTGTGCAGCTGTTAACGTCTCACACAAGCCGAGGAAAACCTTGCAAGAGTGAAGGGCAATTACATAAATAATTAGTGGGGCCATTGAAGTCTGTGAACACCTGTCACTGCAGTGTGAAAAGGGGTCGATTTTGACGAACCAAAATGTGCTACGTTATGAAGAATTCACTCAGTTATTAAGATGATTTAATTATCGTCCCAGCAGGTGGCCAAGCCTTCCTCAAAAGCACGCTGAATTCCTCGTGGACTTGTCATTTTATTGAACTTTGAAATGGCTTCAGACATCTTTTTCTCAGGTTTGATCATCAGTTAAACGCGCAGACAAAGGTTTTTCACCGGGCTTTTCCTGTCGAGGTTTAAAAGCAACAGATAGCATCATAGTTAGCGTCCGGGGTCAGAAGATGCAGCTTTCACCGGTGCAGAGACGGAGGGATGTGAGTGTATAATGCATTTGGCTTGAAGGTGATCTTTACAAGGTTATCACACTCACAGACTCTGACCCACTTGGCTGCGCTATCTATCGCCATGGAGCTGGTTGCCATGGCTGCAGAATAGGTGCTAACTGCCACTCAACAGACTTGTTCCACACTGTGAACGAGTGAGTGGGTGTGTGTGGTGCGGTATGTGTGTGTGTTTGATGTTTTTTATGCTTTTACTTTGTCTGTACAGGCGCCTGTGTGTGTGTGTGTGTGTGTGTGTTGTTGCCCCTGAGTGTACTGTTTGCCCGTACATGTGTGTGAGGGGTTTGGGGGTATTTGTATGGGTGTGTGTACGGCTCTGTGCTCAACATCAGACAATGTTTACAACCAGTCCACTTGTTTTATTCATCATGTTTATCCCTGTGTAGAGCGCAGTGTTCAAGTGAAGCAGACATTCTCTCTTTTTTGTCAGTGAGGCGAGAAATGTGTAAAGTCCTGCATTTCATTGACACCCACCAATGCGCGCTCTATAATTAAGTAACGTAATTAGAAATTGGTCACTTTTGCAACAACATGTTAATTGCTTTAATCACATATCCCTCCCTTTCACCCGTGTGTGTAGAATAGATATTAAGTTAGTTTTTATACATATCGTACTCTCGCTATTCCTGGGTCACAATGCGTTATCTGAACCTAATTCCATTATGCAGTTTTCATGAGATGAATGAGGTTACGGGCGGCGACACGAAGCGCCAAGAGGAGGAGACGGTGGTGGCGTAAAAAAGGCGAGATGGATAAAGACAGAGAGAGGTAACTGGAGCACAGGGCAGGGAACAGAGAGATAGAGAAGTTAGGGCTTATGTGTGAGAGGGAGAATATGTGAAGGAAGGAGGGGTGGAGGAGAGGAAGCTGTAAAGTGCATTGATTTTTTCCCTCCTTCTCCAAACTAATTAAAGTTTTGGCCTGGTTCAGTGATTACCCCACTGCTTACAGAGGCTTTCTCCTGCTGAAGGGCTCTGTGCACCACCTCTCCTCTCCTCCTTCTCCCCTTCCCCTCCGTCCCCCAGATGCCTGCCCCTCCACTTATTTACATAGCTAGGGGTGCCTTATTATGGAATTACAATTAGGAGGCACCAGGGCTGACTTCCTGGTAAAGGCTCATTCCACACCCAATGTCAAGTGAGTCTTGACTGCCATTGGTACTACTCATTGTCGAGAGGAATTCGCTTCAAGTGTGTGAATTGTCTCAAGTGCTGTATTTTCTGACTTTCTGCTCCTGCTGTTCTGCTTCTATTTCCATCCATCTGTTCGCCAGATGTTCGCAGAATCCATAAAGAAATCTCCAGTTTTAGTTTTATATTTTATTTGAAGCTTTTTGAACATATACATATTTCTGACAGTACATACATCACTCAAAAGAACTGAAGAGCATCATTGATGGATGGGATAGAAGACACAAAGTGAATTACAAAGCACTCAAAGAGCGCATACTGTACCTCTGCCAAGTCTGCACAACTCTCCTGATTTATTATTCTATTAATAGACAATGTTTAGAAATTTGTCATACTGATTGTTTGATGGCTCACATCAATTTGGGAGGATACCTAAAAATCCTCTCTGGGGATATTAGGGCTTTGTAAAGAGATTAATTTCAGGTGAGTCAGACTCATAAGCACTGAGTTATAGTTTTATTTTGTCATGTTGGTTTGGTGCCATACAAGCTTTAATGTCATGAGCTTATCGTCCTGTTGCACAATGCTTTTAAATGCTTATGTAAAACCTAGAAGTTGTTTATAATTCGGAGACAGTAAAACGAGTTGTAGCCAGTCCAAAATGCAACTTACACTAATGTGATGTGAAAACTTGACGCCACAGATTACATTGAATGAACTTCAAAGCAAGCGGCATTTTGTTAAGAAAGTTAGTTTGTTTCCACTCATTTATTCACGTTAAATAATACCACATTTTATTAAAATAAAATAAATCAAATGTACATTTTCTGACAGGAAAAAGGAAACGTGTGAGCCTTGGTTTATGGTTCCTAACCTTAATAAATAACAAAGCAAAACCGTAACTCTACCAAAAATATTCAGTAGTAAATAACTTTTGATTTTGAAAACCATATCCACACATCAATTATTATCAAAACCATAGTATTTTAATTTCTCAGAACAAGGAGGGGATATTTAAATATTTTAAAGCTTGTCCAAATATTTACGGATCAAACTTGGTTAACTAGATTCTACAAAACTGGGATGATTGACTTTAAAGAGGAAAAATATGTGAGGATCCTCGGGTTTGATGTGTCAGTTTCCTGTCAAATAAATATGACCATAAAATAATCTTAATACGCTCCAACAGTTCAAACAGTTAGCATTTAAGAGACCTAAAAAAAAAATTGATTTTGTTATTTATTATTTGTTTACCCTACTGTTTATTTTTCCTTATCTTCAGTACATGAGACTTTTCCTCACAGGACAATGACTTTATGTTTTGAAACGAATTGAATCCTTTGGTTGAATTCACTTAATTTGTATTTAAAAGTATTTCATTTTAGTGTCTTCATTCAAACATCGGGATTGTTGATTAGCTTCTTTCCTCCCTTGCATATTCTGTTATTGTTCTGTTCATCTGTAGCTTTGTCTTTGTCAGTGTGTCAGTGGGAGGAGGGATGAGAACAAGCCAAGATGGTGCAAATCTGTCTTGGTTTAAATGGATGTTTTCTGAAAGATTGATTTAGCTGCAAAGTTACCTGAAGGAACATTTGAGCAGTTTAGGTGTTTAAAGCTAAATAGTGCTTTATAAATGTTTACATTGTGGCGCTATCTACAGCACAAACTCATCAGTTGTTTACCTTCCCGTCGCTTCACTCTTCTACAAAATCTTTCAAGTGTATTTTAAGATAAACCGCTATGCAAACCCACTGAATCCAGAAGCACCTTGGTGGAGGTCATAATAGATGAAGTAAGTCTGTCTGAGAGAAACAGCGAATGCAGACATACGCTAGTGTCTGTATTAAATGATGTTTCATTTCCTGGGGATTTAGACAAACCATCCATCATGCTTTGCAAAATGACACATATATATGACCAGTTGGGAATACATCAAGATTCTCTCCGGTCCTGCAAAACTTACATTTTGGAAATATGAGTTGTGTCTACTGATACAGACATTGATATGCAGCTCACCGGTGCTTTGGCTTTGCCTCAGGCCTGCTGAGATTGGAGGAACTGGTCCGCCGCTTCCTCATCTCCCGGGAGACGCTGTCAATCAGGATGCTGGATGACAACCTGGACCCTACGCCGCTGCTGAAGGAGATCCGTGACGACAAAGTGGCCACGATCATCATTGATGCAAACGCTTCTGTGTCCTATCTCATCCTCAAGAAGGTCAGTTCTCAAACATCAATACCTTCTACATACCTGCAGGGTATGCATTTGTAAACAGTACACACACAGTTAAAGGTCACCTATTATGCAAAATCCACTTCTTCATGTCTCTTCTACATCAACATGTGTCCCCCCCTTTATCACCTGAATCTCCTCCTAGAGCACCATTGTGTTCTTTTGAACCAAATCTCTCTCAGAGGGGCGTGGGGAGGGGCTCCTTATTTTCATCTAAAGCAACAGACAGAGAATCAGCACTTTTGAAACAGGGCTGAAACAGAGGGGATTATGGGATGCTGCAATGATCTGTTTGGTGTTTGGAGCCAAACACTTCAGAGACCTATAATATATTGATGAAAAAGAGTATAATAGGGAACCTTTAAGCTCAGGGATTTGCATTTTCGTACCTATTCGGGAAATTCATGTTCATGCAGAGCTTATCATCTGTATAAAAATAACACAACTCTCTCAAAGGCTGCATGTTTTTACCTTCCCTGCCCTCCAGAGCTGCATTGGGAACAAATGTGTATGTCTGCCAGCTACAATCACTTGCGCTCTTAAGAAAATATATGACAAAAGAACATCTTTGGCTGGGATGCGGCACTGATGTTACCCCGGCTCGTTCTGATTCATAGTAGGGCCTGTAGTGCCGATAGCCAGCGCAGTGAGTCACAGTTTGAATGTGTATGGGATGTTTTCACTGGGCACATCGGAGCGGCTGCCCGCCCTCGGCGAAATGTCCGAGTGTTAGCCTGATGATGTAAAACTGTGATTAACGTATGCTCCCTCTCCTCCCAACATTCCCTCCTACTTTCCCCCAAACTGTCTCCATTGCTCCCTGTCACCCAATAACTCTTTGCCATCTCTCCCTTCATCAATCTTCCCTCATCTTCAATTTGTTCTGTCTTTCTCTTTGGTTCACAGGCGTCAGAGCTGGGGATGACGACTGCATTTTACAAGTACATCCTCACCACAATGGTAAGAGCTTCCCAATTCTACCTCTCTTTGAACTTCTCCTTCCTTTCGTTATCCCCTGTTCCTCCTCCTCCTCCTCTGTCCCTTTATGGGTGGGCAACGCTGAGCATAGTATGAGATAAAGGGAGAGGTGACAGAGAGAGGACATGAAGCTTCGGTGGAGGGAAGGAAAGGGAGAGATCTGAGAAATGAACACCCTGTACAAAGATGTGGAAGTGCAGAGGAGGATAGCAAAGGAACTCAAGAAAAAAGGGGTCTGAGGTGAAGGTGATGACAGATGTGATGTGCCCTTTCTTCTTCTGCCACCCGCCACCTTCTCTGCGCTTCTGGTGTTTTTCATCTGCCTCTTTGATACGCTCCCCTCCCCTCCCACCATATTGAATTAATGTGTCACTTTATGCCGTGCGTTCTCTCCACCTGATGTGCTTTAGAAGCCACGTCTTGTGTGTATATTTCTGTGAAGAACTACTGGAGTCATTTCCATCAACATCTCTTCCCCCCCCCCCTGTATCTCTGTTTTCCCATTTTCCTCTCTGTGTGTATTTTTTTGTTTTTCTCTCTCTCTCTCCATCAGAGATTAGATGTTGTCACCCCCTGTTGCCTCTGTTTCTTTATTCATCTCACTCTTCTTCGCACAGTGGGTTTTTTCTGTACTCAGATTATGATACACTGTCAACATTGTCACTCACCTGAATTTTCTGTCTCTCTCTGCAAACACCCTCCTCATATATATATAGAGGAGTAATAACCAATAATAGAGGAGTAATAACCAAAATACCCAATACTAGAGGAGTAATAACCAAAATACCCAATACTAGGGGAGTAATAACCAAAATACCCAATACTAGGAGAGTAATAACCAAAATACCCAATACTAGTAGAGTAATAACCAATACTAGGGGAGTAATAACCAAAATACCCAATATTAGGGGAGTAATAACCAAAATACCCTATACTAGGGGAGTAATAACCAAAATACCCTATACTAGGGGAGTAATAACCAAAATACCCAATACTAGGGGAGTAATAACCAAAATACCCAATACTAGGAGAGTAATAACCAAAATACCCAATACTATGGGAGTAATAACCAATACTAGGGGAGTAATAACCAAAATACCCAATACTAGGGGAGTAATAACCAAAATACCCAATACTAGAGGAGTAATAACCAAAATACCCTATACTAGGAGAGTAATAACCAATACTAGAGGAGTAATAACCAAAATACCCAATACTAGGGGAGTAATAACCAAAATACCCAATACTAGGAGAGTAATAACCAATACTAGAGGAGTAATAACCAAAATACCCAATACTAGAGGAGTAATAACCAAAATACCCTATACTAGGAGAGTAATAACCAATACTAGAGGAGTAATAACCAAAATACCCAATACTAGGAGAGTAATAACCAATACTAGGAGAGTAATAACCAAAATACCCAATACTAGTAGAGTAATAACCAATACTAGGGGAGTAATAACCAAAATACCCAATACTAGGGGAGTAATAACCAAAATACCCTATACTAGGGGAGTAATAACCAAAATACCCAATACTAGGGGAGTAATAACCAAAATACCCAATACTAGGAGAGTAATAACCAAAATACCCAATACTATGGGAGTAATAACCAATACTAGGGGAGTAATAACCAAAATACCCAATACTAGGGGAGTAATAACCAAAATACCCAATACTAGAGGAGTAATAACCAAAATACCCTATACTAGGAGAGTAATAACCAATACTAGAGGAGTAATAACCAAAATACCCAATACTAGGGGAGTAATAACCAAAATACCCAATACTAGGAGAGTAATAACCAATACTAGAGGAGTAATAACCAAAATACCCAATACTAGAGGAGTAATAACCAAAATACCCTATACTAGGAGAGTAATAACCAATACTAGAGGAGTAATAACCAAAATACCCAATACTAGGGGAGTAATAACCAAAATACCCAATACTAGGAGAGTAATAACCAATACTAGAGGAGTAATAACCAAAATACCCAATACTAGGGGAGTAATAACCAATACTAGGGGAGTAATAACCAAAATACCCAATACTAGAGGAGTAATAACCAAAATACCCAATACTAGGAGAGTAATAACCAATACTAGAGGAGTAATAACCAATACTAGGGGAGTAATAACCAAAATACCCAATACTAGAGGAGTAATAACCAAAATACCCAATACTAGGAGAGTAATAACCAATACTAGAGGAGTAATAACCAATACTAGGAGAGTAATAACCAATACTAGAGGAGTAATAACCAATACTAGGGGAGTAATAACCAAAATACCCAATACTAGAGGAGTAATAACCAATATCATAATCATTACATTAATGTGCACAATGTACTTAATATCTGTTTTCTTTTTTTGTATTACTGCCGAATTGTATTACATATTTTATTCCATTCTATTTCTATGTAATTACTGCTATATTTTACTATTTTTTTTGGTTATTTTTTTACATTTTTTAATGTTATTATAGTTTTCCTGAAATAGTTCTCTATCTGTGTTTTTACATTTTTGTATTACTTTTATGTATGCACCATGACATCAAGTCAAATTCCTCGTACGTGTGAACCTACCTGGTAATAAACCTGTTTCTGATTCTGAATAATAGAGGAGAAATAAACAATAATAGACGAGTAATAACCAATAACTATGATCATTTTTATGTGCAAAACATCCTTTTTTATAGTATCTCAAACCTTAATATGTTCACTTACCTATTTAAATGCATTTTTTTGTATAATGTCTGCTTTTTTTTCTATAATTAACACGTTAGCTACTTTATTATTCCTTGCCTTTTATCTGCTATATCTCTTTTGCTGTTACACTGTACATGTCCCTGCTTTGGGACTCACTCCCACAACCCATCAGAGACTGCACTGACCTCACCACCTTCAAAACGTACAAAGAACTCACCTCTTCAAACTAACTTTTAATGTGTGATTGTTGTTATATTGCTTGATATTAATGTGATTTTTTACTATATTTAATTGTTGTCCTTTTCCTTTTTTCACTACCTCTGTAAAGCAACGTTGAGCACCTGTAAAAGCGCTTACAAAATACATGTATTATTATTATTATTATAAAGGGATTCTGATTCCTCATGTACCCAGGACTTCCCGCTCCTGAGACTGGATGATATAGTGGATGAGCAGTCCAACATCGTGGGGTTCTCCATGTTTAACACCACCCATCCCTTCTACTTGGAGTTCATCCGGAGCTTGAATCTCTCGTGGAGGGAGGGATGTGACCTGACGTACCCCGGGCCGGCGGTGAGTCTCACGGCGCTCTGCACTCATGCATGTGCACATTTAGGAGTCATTTTCAAAGCTTTGTTTGTGCGCCACATAAAACATTAAGCTACTTTATTCCTCACACTGATTCATGGAGCAGTTAAAGAGATGCAGCTAGTCTTTTGCTTGTACTTAATGGGTATTGATGTATCCATCTGTGTTTCCTCCCCGCTGGTTTACCTCACATCTCTCCCCCCTCTCTCTCTCTCTCTCCTTCCCTGTTAAACATTCAATCATCTGAACTCGCACATCTCTCCTCGTCTCTCTTGACTCACGTCTCTCTTCGCTGGGTTTCCATCCCTCCCCCATTTTGCCTTTCTCACCTTTCGTAACTCTCTTGTTTCCTCTTCCACAGCTCTCGTCAGCGCTGATGTTTGATGCGGTGCATGTGGTGGTGGGGGCCGTGAGGGAATTGAACCGCAGTCAGGAAATCGGAGTGAAGCCGCTCAGCTGCTCCTCGCCTCAGATCTGGCAACACGGGACCAGTCTCATGAACTACCTGCGCATGGTAATCGCTCAATGAGTTGTAAAATCACCTGCAGATTTACAAATTCATACGCATACACACCATTACATCATGAGAAACATGGGTAAGAAATTAGCACATGTAGTAAGTCTTAGTTCAATGCAATTACATTGGTTTTTAGATGTCCACACTTTGAAATGTTAGAAAATAGTGAAAATACTTTTTGATCTTTTCACGTCTTTCAAAATGGAAATTGATTAATTTTGTGTAATTTTTCAAACAAAAAAGCCATATACTAATCTGCTGGTTCTAGATTCTAAAATGGTATGTGATAGTAAACGATATTGGATAAAGCAAAACTTTTGAAAAACCTTGGAGTCCAAAAGAATTGTGATGGTATTTTTAACGACATTTTTATACATTTCATAGAAAAGCCAATTGATTGCTTTCCGTAAATAAAAAGGCAGATTAGTTAGTAATAAGAGTAATCATTTCATTATCATCATCAGCAGCAAAAAAAAACGCGAATATGTTTATATGACAGTGATATAAATCAGAGAAATGCATCTGTACATCAACGAACTAGCAAATATTTTGACATTTTTCACTTGCAAAATCACGCAAACCATTATCCCCAATCAGAGCTGTGGTGGATTAATTATCTCTTAATTGACTTCATCATTATTCACTTCAGTACAGCTTCATTCTGTGTCACCCTCTCATCTCACGTTGCATGTAACCTCTGTCTCTTGTTACTGTTTGTCATCTCCCATCTCCGGTCGTCTGTGCACTCGTCTCATTGACTACCTGTTGTCAAGGCAGCCCGAAACCCATCTCTCACTGCCTCCATCCCATCGCCTGACATCTGCCTTTGTTAGTCAACATCACGATGTGCTCCATCTTCAGCGCCGTGCCATTCATCACAGATCTCGCTAACAGTGCCAGCACCTGGGTTCTGGAGAGGAGAGTCTGTGAGGTGCCGTTCTGAGTCTTATTAGGGAGCTGTTGACTCTCTCTCTGAGCCTCGCTCACTCACTCTCTCCTAGTTGAGCCAAAACTGATCACCCCTGTCTGCTGCATCCTCACACACTTCCTCTGTCTCTATAGCGCCTTCTTGTTTTTCACCCTCTCTTTTCGCTGTAGATAGCACCTGTCGGCCTAATCGTGATAGATAGTGGGAAGAAAGATATTTGGCTTTGTAAAGAAGATTGCCTGTTTCTTTTCCAGCATTTATTCTTATTGTTTCTACTAGGGCTGCAGGATTTGGAAAACTGTGAATATTTTGGGACTTTCTCAGCAGCATTACAATACTTAATTCAGAATGATATTTTCACATATTTTGCTTCCAATAAATATTGTGCCTACTACTATGAGGATATTTCTATGAGTATATATTTGATTAATAGTGCAACCATAGTTTCTATCGTAGACATTTATCACAAGTCTCCTTTAATATATATTTCACTGTAACTTTCTGCCTACGGTTGAATTTCTCACAGTTTAAATTCACGCCAAGCTACTAAATGTTCTCAGACAGAAGGGTGTCGCTTTGACCATTGTCAGGTGATTATCATATGGATCTTAGGTTTGTAATAACCAACATTTCAATAGCCCTGTAATGTAATAATAAGCTGAGACCTTCCCCTTTCCTTTGTCTTTTTCCTATATTAGTGCTTGTTTTTCTGTTTTAAAAGGGTTCACATTTCTTTAGCACACATTGGTGCAGGGTTATCCGGCCATATTTATTAAATAACACAACTTTGGTTTAAACTTGTAGATGTGTTCTTTCCTTACCAGAAGGTGATTTCCACTACAGTTTCCATTCTCTGTTTTAATTCTCCAATCTTTGTTTCTCCTCTTTTCTCCCGTCCTCTTTCGTGCTTTCTTACCTCGCTCTTTCTGTGGTCCAGGTGGAGTACGATGGTCTGACAGGGCGTGTGGAGTTCAACAGCAAAGGGCAGAGGACCAACTACACCCTGCGGATCCTGGAGAAGCACAGAGGAGGCCACAAAGAGGTCAGGAGTCACCTGTTATCATGCGGCAGAGGTTATACGCCCCCAGGCTTTGGGTTAGCTACAGGTCACCCGTCTGAATCCACTGTGCCGGAGGTGCTGTTTAACACTGAGGTCAGCCTCATCGCAGGCTCCCCTGATAGTAGCCAAACATTTTACTTTGTGAAGTTACTGTGATGTGTGGCACCTGTCGGCACTGCAGTTTTACCTGCCATCCGATGCGCGTCATGTTGTAGCTGCAGATACGTGACAACTGTTTTATCTGAAGGCTACTGAAATACATTCACTTCTTGCGTTTTAAAGCAGTTTCATAGTATTTCAGTTTTGTTTTCAGTCTTATTAATGTGTTTTTATGTTCTAGCAGACCCTATGCCAAGTGCTCTGTTTCTTGTTGTTTGTTTCTTGCATGTTGACTTGATGTTTTCTGATTTCAAAACATACACAAATTACATTTTCATTATGGTTGGTTTACTTTCTTCCCGTGCCTACAAACTATGACATTCATTTGTAGGAATCAGCGTTGGTAATTGGCCTCAAGCTAAGAACAGAGTAGAGTTGTAGATATTTCTACATCTCCTCATCTAATACTATGTACTATTTATATAGAGGCTCAATCTTCTCGTGTTGTTATGACAGCGCTATTCTTCAATAATGAAATGTCCCTTAGTTGAAAGGATCTTTTCTATTCTTGATCCTTTGTATACATTGTTATCGTACATATACTGTATACATCAAGGATCAAAACAGTAGGCCTGAATCAAATATCATTTGCATTGAGTTGCATTGGGAACAATAAACTATATTTATATCTACAGCCTTCCAGAGAAACTGTTGCATTGTGATCATATTGTGTTGTTATCTACTCCAAAAGGTCTGACCTAACTTGTATCAAAATGTTGTAACTACAGAGATTCTGAAAGAGGAGTTTTCTGTGCACTTCCATCAAATCTGAGTTTTAAACTCACCCCTGGCCAGCTACATTCGGTGTGTCTCACATTTTAAAGCCAATAGCTGTCTTATATATAAATGCTGGCAAAGAAAACCTGAAGCCTCCAGTGCAGAGCGGACTGGAAATACAGACAGGAGAGTTTGCATTAGCAGGGTGAAAGTTTTGACAGCAAACACGGTGGTGTGCAGTCTTTGAATGTAAGCCGGACCCTGGAGCTTCTTTCCACCATCTACCAAAAAAACCTCACTTGATTTTATTCTTTGTTTCACAACCACTGACACGGTGTCAGCCACTGCCAGTTACAAGCTCACATATCTTACTTAGGTTCAATAACAAAGTGCACATTTGAAGCCCTGCTGTGTGCGAGCTATTTATTATTTTAATGATTACTCATTTCCAGCTCAGCACCTGTCCTCTTTTTGTGACAAGATAACAAATAACATAAACGGATAAAAGATTACACCTACACCTACCATTGTGATGATTCTGCTAGTTTCTGTGTTTAGTGCAGACTTCTCTGAAACTGGATCTGGCTGAGGCTCAAACATACGGATGAATGCCTCTGATGTTTTCTCTAGCCATCTTGGTGCACGCTGCTCTTTTACCATTCAAGCTAACACGAGCAGCAGTTGTGGGCGGGGCGCCAGGCCTGTGATATAGATCCAGGATTTTCAAATGAGTAAGAAAGAGTAGATGTGCTTCCAGGCCCTTTTCAGGGTTTAACTTTTTTATGGGAAAGACCAAATCATCAATATAAATCATAGTAGAGTATTTGTATGGAGTTAAACATGTCTTTAGATTCAAAACTACACATTTTGGGGACATCATTTGCACATTTTCAGGTTCATATTAGTACTTTGTGTCTCTACTGTGACATGTTAACATGCATTCATGTTCAAAAAGCTCTTTATTTTTCTCATACTGCCTGTGCTGCAGCACCTCTTTTCACCCTCTGTCTGAAACCAGAGCCCAGTCTGCTCTGATTGGTTAGCTGGCCGGCTCTGTTGTGATTGGTCAACCCCTAGAGATATCCCACCCCATGGCTCATCACGTACAATATGTCGGAGCGCTATCCAATAGAAGCGCGAGTGTGACATAGTGATGTCATTATGTTACTGAAGTCAACAAAGGAGTCCAATGGAGGTGTTTCAGGAAGTGGGGGGGGGGGAAGTGTGTGGGAGAGAAACTCCCTCTGGGATTCAAGCCTCTGCAGACCATTTACAAACCTATATAACACACTACATGAATGTGAAAACAAAACAGTGGCAATGACAGGATAATGGTAAACATTAAAACATAGTCTAACAATAACCCAATTAGTGAAGAGGCATAATGTACTCCGCATTGTTGGTTACAAAGCACAATCTATCTTACGTTTTTTAATAATAGCCACCTACTCGTACCAGACCAATTAAGGCTCTAGCAGCAAACCACCATGTGTACCGACTTGAGCAAGAAGGTGTTTTCTTGCTCAAGGCTTCGACCTTTCATTTGTTAAAGAAAAAATAAATCCTTTTCATTACATTTCCTGGACCAGATCTTCCCTGTCAGTCTGTGCACGTCATCTATTTGATGTACTAGTTACATGCCACAACGCATTTGTTAAGGGTAGTTGGTCAATGTGGGGGACCAACATATAATGTCGGCAGACCCAACCAACGAGGTGTAAAGAACAATTTCGGTGGCAATATTCTGTCTGTGCAGACTCCTCCAGTGAGCATTAGAAAGAAGGTGAGGGAAGATAGATATCAAAATGCATTTCAAAGTCAAGATTAAATGAGGCATAAGTATACACATCACTGCAGATCCAGAGAGGGAATTACGCTGCGGTTCATTGACTGGAGGAAACACTTTCCCTTCACCTTCCCTTAATACGTTTTGCAGGGTTCTGCTATAGGCCAACAGCCTCCCATGCTAACACTAAATAGCACCTGATAACCATACTTAAAGCCAGACTTAAGAGTTTTAGGTAGTGGTAATTACCATTTTAACTCTGCCCACCTCTCTGCACAGCAGCACCCACACTGTAGGCAACGCAGTGATGGCTGACAGGAAAAAGACCACTCTTAAATGTCAGGGCAGGATAAAGAGTGTAAAAGAAAAACTGTGATTCTGTCTGAGGAGTCATTACCTCTCCTCTGACCTATTGAAAAATGTACAGCAATATCTCCTAAAGACGTGTCTCTGAGCTGCGGTTCCACCCCTACACACCGGTTAGGTCATAATCACACACTTATGTACCTTAGCGACTTTACTGTCTCCATAAAACGGAAATATGTGAGCTGTTTTTTTATGCAATTTAAGAAAGGTGTTAGTAGGATAATAGACATGGCAATGAAACTCCCGTTCATGAACGCTTTTTATATTTTGCCATCTTCTCCCAGATCATTGCTCTGCCTGTAATAGTAGGGATTTTCTTTTTTTGCATGGTACTAGTACAGTATGACTCCAATGGGGGGAATTAAGTCAATATGCGTATACTGTATGCAACAATATGGATACAAAAGCATTGAATAAAATATACAACATTCAAAGGTGCTTATAAAAAAGACTAATAGTGCTAAGGACTACTGAAATACTTATTTGTTTCACATGGTGTGTATCCTTCTACTACAGTAACAGGGTTGCAGTTTAGTTAGAGCTAAAAGAGGACATATTATACACATTTTCAGGTTCATATTTGTATGTTGTGCCTCTACTGTGAACTGTTTAAATGCTTTAATGTTCAAAAAGCTCTTTATTTGTCTCATACTGCCTGTGCTGCAGCACCTCTTTTCACCCTCTGTCTGAAACCAGAGCCCAGTCTGCTCTGATTGGTGAGCTGGCCGGCTCTGTTGTGATTGGTCAACCGCTTAGAGATGTCCCGCCCCTTAGCCTATCACGTACAATGAGTTGGAGTGCTTGCCAATAGAAGCGCAAGAGTTACATAGTGATGTCATTGTGCTACCGAAGTAAACAAAGGAGTCCAATCGAGGTGTTTCAAGCAGGGGGGGAGCTTGGGATTTTAGCCTTTGCAGACCATTTACATCACAAAAACCCATATAACACACTTCAGGAAAGGGAAAACCCCCAAAAAGCATTTTAGGGCCCCTTTAATGCCACAGTATTTGTCCCACTTCAGCCATTGATTTCCTCTTGCTTGCTCTGCTAGATCGGGATCTGGTACTCCAACAACACCCTGGCAATGAACTCCACCAGTCTGGACATCAATGTTTCGGAGACGCTGGCCAACAAGACACTCATCGTCACCACCATAATGGTACGTTACCCCCTGCCCCCCGTGCTGCTGAGGTCATGGATGTTGTTGTGCCGCAGCTCAAGTTGTTTTCTTGTCTGTTTTGTGCTAATTTTGCTGTCACTGTAGCTGTCAGAGAAGCTGACAGAGCACTGAGAGAAATGTGTTACTGAATTCAAACCGCCAGAACATTGGACCTCTCATAATCTCCGAACACTTCGAATGTGTCTCTGTCTGGTTTCCATATGAGTAATGTCACATCAGCAAATCAATAAATCCCTCACATGATGCTGCTCCATCTTCTCCACGTTGGCATGGATGTATAAACACCCTTACAGTTAATCCTCTGCAGCCTTTTGCTCAAATAAAACATTACATTTGCTTTGTTGACATGACTGTTGATGTAATAATAATGATAAAGCTTGATTACTTGCTATTATTATACTATTTTAGGAAAATTAGGTACATAACAAATCATATGGCAACAAATAAATCATACTGAAAGCTTGCTGACCTTTTAAAGTGATTGTTCAGTTAGGAAGATATCCAGCACTAATAACATCTGAATCCTACTTTTCCCATGATGCAACTGTTTATAATCCTTTTGTTTAGACTCTTCCTGACTGGTTTAACCAATGTCTTTGTATTATTTGTCCAATAAATGGACTTTGAATGTACTGTACATACATAAAACTTAATTTGAGTAATGACTCAAAATGCTTTGGACAGAGTTACATATGGAAACATAATCAAATCAAAGGCATGAACAATACAACTTGTGCTTTCTAACCTATATTAATGCTATCGTTCTCTATTTGGAGAATTGTAATTATTACATTACATTTTCTTACCGAGATCGATAGCACTCTGGTAAATAGTCAGTTAGCTTATTACAAAGAATAAATTGTATGGATTTAAATAAAAAGCTACAACATGTTCATTAGTGATGTTTAAAGGTGGATTTTAACATCTGATCGAGCCAGGTTACACCTTGTTTCCAGACTAAGTACTGTAAGAGAGTGGTATTGATCTCCTCATCCCTCTCTACTTGAGAGCCATTTTCCCAAAATGTCCAACTATCTATTATTTACATAACAGTTATTTTTGTTATAATTTAATTCGCTTTGAAACATAGAGTCTTACATTTGAGTCAGTAATCTCTGCTCAAATTCGATACTGTTAGTTTTGGATTGAATCGCCTTGTGTGTCTTTCCCCTTGCTTAGGAGAACCCATATGTGATGCGCAGAGAGAACTACCAGGACTTCCAGGGCAACGACCAGTACGAGGGCTTCTGTGTGGACATGCTGAAGGAGCTGGCAGACATCTTGAAATTCTCCTTCAGAATCAAGCTGGTGGACGACGGGCTGTACGGGGCGCCAGAGCCCAACGGCTCTTGGACTGGCATGGTTGGAGAGCTAATCAACAGGGTAGGCACACTCTCCCTCTCCCTCTCTTTCGGTTACACATACTCACAGCAACATGCTCAAATGTTCTAACTAGTATCTCTAGCAACAGAAACGTATGCTCGACACACACACCCACACACTCACGCTGTAGCCCCAAACCACAACTCTGCTGTAACTTCCCATGTCTCGAATTGCCCTCAGAGGGGAGCAAGACTCTTATCTAGGACAAAAGCTGACTCGATAATTCCCCAAAAGAAAGTGGTTGCATTGCCTAAAATGTGTCTGCACCATCTTTTCCTCACACTATCCCCCTCCTTGCTTCCCCTGTCCAAACATAGTGCGCCTCAGACAGACACTGTAGTGGAAGCAGGCTAATGAGAGCCCCTGTCTGCTTAATTACCATACGGTATACTTCAATTACCAGACTGTGGTCCCTGTGTGGGGGCTGCCACACTGTTGCTCCCCCGGCTCTCCACGCTCCTCTCCCTCATGCCCTACCCACTGCCTGATCACTCAGCTCTAATTAGCAGCCCATGTTCATCAATTAGCTTTTAATGGAAGAGATGGAGGGGAGGCAGAGCGACCAGAGACCTCATACAGGTGCACAGCCCGACCACCTAGTGCTTACTCGCAATTAGCCTAATTTGGACTGTGGGTAATGTGCGAGTTTCTGTGCCAGAGGGAGAGTGCACGCCTCGATGTTTTTCCAAATGTGTTGTCAAGTGCCACAGTCAAACATTTCTTTTTTCATTCTGGAAATCAACATTTGAAAACTACCAAACAAAGAGTTTATTTTCTGCATCGCCTTAAGTCCTACGGGGCGAATAGAAACAAATCTTTTGTTCTTTTGTTATGTAATTCGTGCTCCACGCTGTTGCAATGGTATAAGTGTTTGTCTACATCCTTAAAGTCAAACTGCTCCACCAAATTGAAATCCGCTCAAGGATTGTATATGTCAATCCCTTTTGAAACTCCATGAATCAGCTCACCATAATAACATAAAAAAAGGCCATCCAGCATCGTTGTCTCTGACCTCAACTATGTCAGGATGTCAGGAACAGCTGATATAAAATGGTTGCCATCAAATGAGACACACAGGTTTCCATGATTTAAAAAGGTTATACAGAGGCACTCTTTTTTTGCACTAGTCAATCCTAAAAATGAAATGTGGAGCTTATTTCCAGATTGAATGTACATTGAAGGGTTTTGAATGTATATACTGTCTTTAGTGTAATGTTATGTTTAATGTATTTCTCCTTGTTTGATGTTCAAATGGAGCTGCAGTGAAAATGTTCAGACTTGCGCTGCCAATATGATCATTTTATACAAACAGAGCTCTCATGTTTCAGTGCAGCGTCGAGTGTCTTTCTATTTTTACGCAGGTATCTGACCACTTGTCGTTTTTTTTTTTCTCCCTGACTCTCCTCCACTGCCTCTCTCTTTCCCTCGCCTCCACTACTATCTTCACCACCTATCTATCTTTGTCAATCCTCCAGAAAGCAGACCTGGCCGTAGCGGGCTTCACCATCACATCAGAAAGAGAGAAAGTTATCGACTTCTCTAAGCCGTTCATGACCCTGGGGATCAGCATCTTGTACCGAGCTCAACTGGTGAGGGTGTTATCTGGGGCTGCAGGGAGATACTCTCTCCAGATCCTGTGTTAGATTCCATCTCTTCTGTGCTGCTTTTAAGCTGACAGGGAGATACACTTGCTTTAGGATTCTTATGAAATCAGACTGAATCTTACATAACAGTTGATCCCATCTTTGAAGTCGAGGATTGTGTAGCATCCGCTGTGTCCACTGTGAAATGTATAGGTGTCATTTAAATTGCTCAATAAGTCAGTGCTCCGAAGCTCCCGTACCAGTGGCAGCTTTACATTGCTAATGAGCTTCTGGGTCCAAGCCAAGTGTGCTTCAGCAGAAGGCATTGTGAAACGTTTATGGATTGTAGCATTAGCGTATCAAAGCACTGCAGACTCACTATCAGCGTGCAGTGAAGGACACTGCCCTCCTGTGGTGCAGAGGAGACACTCAGTGAGAGACATGACACCTCGTTTTTTAAACACACTGTACCTTCCTGTCTCTTCTGCTCCATCCATCTCTCCACTTCACTTTGTTTCTCTTCTCTTCTCTCCGTGCACCAGGGTCGGAAGCCGGGTTACTTCTCCTTCCTCGACCCCTTCTCTCCGGCCGTGTGGCTCTTCATGCTGCTCGCCTACCTGGCTGTCAGCTGTGTGCTCTTCCTGGCTGCAAGGTCAATACATTTCCTCACACAATGTGCCCACAGTCTGCGGCGCTATCGGCATTTGTCATGTCGAACACGAGTTGCCTGTCAGATATCCTCATGTCCTCCCGTACACAACCTCCCGCAGACAGATTGACAGCGATCGAATGACTGATTGGTGCTGGCTTGAATGATCTGAGGGAGGTGCATTACTGTACTGCGGTTTGACCTCAAGGCCGTTCAATCTGTATTCCCCTCTGCCTGTGTTTCTCCACCAGGCTGAGCCCCTATGAGTGGTACAACCCTCACCCGTGTCTCAGAGAGCGCAGGGACGTGTTGGAGAACCAGTACACGCTGGGGAACAGCCTGTGGTTCCCCATCGGAGGCTTCATGCAGCAGGGGTCAGAGATAATGCCCAGAGCCCTGTCCACCAGATGTGTTAGTGGAGTGTGGTGAGTTACACAATCCATACATGTTATTGCTGTGGTCTATTATTACAGTCAAAATATATAGGTAATCCTGGACAAGTCCCTCCCACTTCCAAAAACTAGAGTGCTAAACTAAAATGTTTGATGTCATTAAGTACAAAGTATCCAAATGCTCCTTTGACAATGAATTGGTACAGATTTTAGAGTTGACAATGAGAGCACCCTGAGGAATAGTCCGATAATTATAGTATATGTAAAACTGAGAAAACTGAGAATAAAGCTAATCAAGGTTTAAAAAACGAAACACTTTGAGTCAACAAAATCTGTTTCACAGTCATTGTCTTTGGAGCGGCTCCAGACCTGATACTACTTGATATCACAAGTTTCACAATTAATTCCATGGTTTATGGATTTGAGAGAGAGCAGCTCATGTGCTCAAATATTGATTTAACTTACTTAGACCATGGATATATATTACATTGGAGTTATTCGTTTCCGAGTTCCCTTTGAAGTTTGTCTGCCGACCAGTTTAAAATCCCTGTTTTTGCTTATTGTTACTTTAATTAGATTTTTGAGATTTAATCTGCAGAGTTTTAACATTCAAGTGTCAAAGGTGGAAGCGCTTCTCGTAGCGCTCGTTAAATCTTGCCTTTTAAAACATGTATTTATGAGCAAAGGGTTACAGAAGAGCAACCGATTTCTGAAATGTGAAAATAGTTAAGATAAAAGATAAATACTATAATTTAAAAAATGGTAATAAAATACAATAATAAAACGACTAATCATTTCATTTCATTTCACACCTTTATTTATCCAGGTTGTATCCCATTGAGATCATTGATCTCTTTTTCAAGGGAGACCTGCTCAAGTAGGTTCCACATGAATAATAGACCAAATTACCAAATTAATTAATTAGAAGCGGGCAGTAAATGCCGATAACGACATGAAGTCCAATGTCATGATCTTTAAACTACATTTGATTATTATAGGAAGATCAGCCATTTTACAGATATTTGGTAAACTGTTTTACATACTAGATTCCTAATTCCTCTTCATAATTGTGTTTAAAGTGGACCTATCATGCTATATTTGAATAATATAGTGTAGGACCATACCTATATAAGGCATATTTATACTTTTTTTTTTTCAAAATACCAAACAGATCATGCATTTTAGCCATGCCTCATTTCGCTCAATTTGACATTTTTTAGATCTGTTTTAGCAAGGGCAGATTCTGTGAGAACAGCACCATCTACAGGCCTGGTATATGTACTACAGCGTCTCCAGCGCTTTCGAACGGCCAATGGCCGTGGCTGTGTCCTCCTGATTGGTGGAGTTGGCCCAATAGCCGTAGCGCCACCGTCCTGACGTCAGGACAGTGTTCAAATCTGGATCAGTTTTTATCAGATCCGTTGCAGCCCCTTTTTTAGAGATTTGGGTATGGAGGAAAATAGAGAGGGTTGTGTTTTCTGACACTTGGTGAGTTCCCTGGAACACCGGGGACACATATTCATGTATAAAAGACGTACAAAAGTGCATTTTGCATGATAGGTCCCCTTTAAAGCAATCCACTGGTTAACCTCATTTCTTCATCAGAAACTGCATTTTTCCTTGAGGATGCATTTTCCCCTCTCTTCTCCTTAGCACATCCGCTGTGTTAGATAATGACATTTAGATTTTAAAGTTTAACAGGATAAAAGCTGAAATATCGCTCATGCAGTGAATTTCAGTCCCTAAGCACCGGGCAAACTAAACAAAATGCTAAACTCACAGAAACACCACAGTAGCCTGATGATAGTCCTGTGGCAACAGAGTGACTGGGACAGACACACACACACACACACACTCGCACGCACGCACGCACGCACGCACGCACGCACGCACACACACACTGTAAAGGATAAAATGATCGCTCAGAGCTAAGGAGATAAAGGGTAGAGGAGGACAGGAAGAGCACATTACACTGAGTTGAGCAAGATATGGGATAGGGGAACATTATTAAGTAAAGTGAGTACATGATGTTCTTTTTGAACAAAGTTTGAAGACATGCAAGAAAGGTCAGAAGAGAGTCCCATGTATTAGTCTATGTAAGTCCTATAAACCTGACACCATTTCTTACTTACACTTCAAGTGAGTTGATTTGATTATAAACACTGTGATAACATATATTTTGGGAATGTTTGCTCCACAGTTTACGCTCTCCCTTGAAAAGTCCTTGTATTTTTTGGCAAGTGTTGGCTGTGCTTCCAAAAAGCAGGATTGATTAATAGTAATCTTCTTTTATTATTATTAATTATTTTAATGTGATAAAATGTCTGGATTTGTCAGGGATTTTCTCCGAGAATTTGACATGATATGTATAATTCTTTTTGATCCAGGAAGTTTATATATCCCACAATTCAAGATTTCGAGTCAAATGAAGAAAAAAATCTGCAGCTCTGTTTCCAAAAATGTCACCATAATTAATATTGTCAGAACCGTTTCTATTATTAAAGGAGAAAGGATAAGAATACTGCTGATTAACAGTTAAGTTTGACGTTTTTAGAATCAGAATCAGAAAGCTTGGAAAGCATTGTTCCTTAAGCGTTACAAGAGCAAAGAAGCAGTGCAGATAATAGGCCAACATTAAAAAAGTAGACTTACATTATAAAAAAAAAGTGGCAAGCACACAGGAGCCATTATGACATGTAAAAATAGAGTGTATATTGCAATTAAACCTGAAAGAAACAGTTTTGCCATATAAGTGTCATACATATACCCCCATCCATACTCACCTTATCTACATGTTTCTTCCCCTGTCTCCCCCCTGACATGAGTGGGCGTTCAACCCTGATCATCATCTCCTCCTACACGGCCAACCTGGCGGCCTTCCTCACCGTCCAGAGGATGGAGGTCCCCATCGAGTCTCCGGACGACCTGGCCGACCAGACCAACATCGAGTACGGCACCATCCACGGAGGGAGCACCATGACCTTCTTCATGGTACGACCCACTCATGTAATACGTGTGGGGTTTTTGAGTGAACATGTGTGAGACTGTGTGTGTGTGTTTTTCTTTAAAGGTCACCTATTATGCTAAATCCACTTGTTCATGTCTTCTTTACATCAGCATGTGTCCCCTCTGTGTAAAGAGATTCTGAAAGTTTCAGGAACAAAGATTCTCTCACTTTTTGTTCTGATCCATTTATATAAAAACCTGTCTGAAAATGAGCTGATCAGATTTTGGCCACTTTATGATGTCATAACGATTTTTCGGCTTGTGTAACCATTAGCCAATCACCAACCAAGGTAACCCCCCCCCCCCCTTATCACCTGAATCTCCTCCTAGAGCACCATTGTGTTCTTTGTAACCAAATATCTCTCAGAGGGGCGTGGGGAGGGGCTCCTTATTTTCATCTAAAGTAACAGACAGAGAATCAGCACTTTTGAAACAGGGCTGAAACAGAGGGGATTATGGGATGCTGCAATGATCTGTTTGGTGTTTGGAGCCAAACACTTCAGAGACATGTTCTGTATATATCTGAGACCTATTATATATTGATGAAAAACAGTATAATAGGGGACCTTTAAATGATGTTGATTTTGATGGCAGTGGGAGTTCGGCAGTCTAATTTGACAATTTCCTGAATATCTTTTAACGCTGTAAATGTTTCATGAGGTTTTTGGGTTTGTTTGTGCACGTGTGATTTAGTGGACTGTTGTTTTTTGTTATTGCTGTGCCCATAGTGAGTCGTTGTCCTCATACGCTACTATATCTCTGTTGTTTTCTTTATGGCTGGTTGTGATTGTGTTAAGTGGCAGGCTGCCTGTGTTTGCTCATGAGAGCGCTTCCAGCCTCTGTGTTTGTCAAAGAGGGTGTGTGTGTGTGCGTGTGTGTGTGTGTGTGTGTGTGTTGTGTGTGTGTGTGTGTGTGTGTGTGTGTGTGTGTGTGTGTGTGTGTGTGTGTGTGTGTGTGTTTTGTCTTTGTGTGACGGTGTGCTTGCATGTGTGTGTGAGTGTAGGTGAGTATATGAACAAACTATGTATTTGTTTATTTGTGTGCATGCATGGGAAATGGCTGCATGCCAAATTGTGAGTGTTTATGCTTTACATTCTCCTGGTGTTTGTCCACACTGAGGATATAAGAAAGAGTGGTCTGTTTGCCTACTGTACATAAGCCAATTTCAGTGCTACAGTACATTACCCCACTCAAAGCCTAATCCACACAAACACACATACAATACACACCTCACATCATCACCCTCACATGCAGCCTTGTCTACTCTTCCTTTCTTCTCACACAGAGATGCAACCTGTAATTGTTCACTTTAAACACTTAATCCTGTTTTAGAGCTTTCCATATTTGCTAAACCCCCTCCTGAGTGCTGATTTCCCTCCACCTGTATGAAAGATGATGCATCAGCTACGCCATGTGCGAATAATCTGTAGCCTTGATTCACCTCGCTATTTTCCCCTTCTCCTCTCCTCCTTCCTCTTTGCGTTCATTTGCGATTCTCTTGTCACTATTCACCCACTGTTCTCCCTAAATAACCCTCCCCTGTTTAGATGCATCTCTCTTTCTCTTATAGCTTCCCTCTTTCATTCTTATCGATTTAATTTCTGCTTCAAAGACGAATGAGTGTAAGAACACATATCTGACATCAGTATTTCATTCTCGTTTTTGGTGCTCCTCTGCAGAACTCCCGGTACCAGACCTACCAGCGGATGTGGAACTACATGAACTCCCAAGCAGCCCAGTTGTGTTTGTGAAAAGCACCGAGGAGGGGCCATCGCCCGCGTGGTCAACTCAAAATACGCCTTCCTGATGGAGAGCACCATGAACGAGTACCACCAGCGGCCTCAACTGCAACCTCACCAAGAATCGGAGGCCTGCTGGACACCAAGGGCTACGGCATCGGCATGCCACTGGGTAATAACACATCTTTAAACATACATGCCTGTAGCAGACCATAATGTAAATAACTACCAAGTAAAACATAAAATAAGTGTAAAGATGGAGCGCAGGGCTTTTGCATATAAATGATTCAAAATGCTGCCAGGGTAAACTCTCTTTAGGAAAGCGGTGTTGTGTGTCAGGAGTGGAAGAAGTATTCAGATATTCAGAACTATCTTCAGCAAAATGTTGTAGTATAAAAATTACTCATTCTGCAGAAACATACCCTCCATAAATTATATAATATATTATAGATCTGTGACACTATTAGATGAGTAATCACAATCAGGGAGCACACATTATTGCTGATGCTCTTATCTGGTAACTTTATCCTTTACAATATTTGCTATTTTGAAAGAAAATGTATGCAGGGTGTCCGCACATAAACAAGATAAGATATATATATACTCAGGGTGTCCGCGGGGTCTTAAAAAGTATTAAAAGTTGATAAATCAATTTAGCGAAAATGAAGGCTATAACAAAGTATTAAACGGCATTTTCCAAGGTATTACATTTTGTAGCTTGTTTTCAATAAGTATATAAATTGTCCAAAGAGGTTGTATTCTACAGTTTGCCTGAATGTAATCATTGCGTAGGTGTGTAGTGTGATTCTGTGGAGTTTATTTATGGCATCCCGTTGGATTTGACGTCATCTGAACAGGACATCGCACGCTCACTGCTTGATAGCGCGCGAAGGTCCGTTTACGCCGGTTGTTAAACAACATCGTTATGGGGAAATGCAAGTTTGCGTCCAAATGGTTGGAAGATAAGGAGGAAGGACAATCAATACTGTATATAGTCAATGTGAGGTAAAGTGTGTCGCCAATGTAACCGGTTAAAACTCAAAGTGGCGATGAGCTCTTAAAATGTATGGAAAGGGTCTTAAAAAAGGTTTTAAAAGGTTTTACATTTGACTTCAGGATTCCTGCATATACCCTGGTATGTAATCACACCATAAAAAGCAAAGAAGATTGATAGAAATGGTTTAAAACATGTAAATCTAACTATCACAAGAAGCCTATAAATGGGTTTGAAAAACATCCATATTGATTTAATCAGTGGCAATTTCAGGCAGAGCATTTCAACGCCTACACGTTTCCTGCAGCAAACACTCAGTCATGCCTGAAGATCTGAGGATCAGATTGTCCTCTCGGGGGATTAAAGGTCACGGACGGTCAAAAAATACAACTGCCATGTGTTTGATTAGACATATCATTTATTAACGAAGGCCTGAAATCTATCTTAAAATCAACAACAGGCAACCAGTGCAAAGAAGCCTCAAGAGATGCTACACTGCTCATATATTTGGACCTGTTTCAAGGTTTGTGAATTAATTCAAAAGAATAGGGTATAGTGTCAAGACAACAACATATTAAATAATGCATGGTCCTCTGAGTTTACTTAAATATAGCACTAAAACACTTATATACTGGTCTTTAGTGGTTAGAAAGAGCAGTTTAATGAATCTTTAAACAGAGAGCAGTGATATTATGTTGGTGATTATGTCCAAACACTAATGGCTATCCTTTAATGCTTCACCCTCAATATGTAGCAGCATCACAAAGTGCGTTCATTTGAACTTTGTTATTATTAAATAGACTACTTCATTTGAGTGTTTTATTCAGGTCCAGAGAGATAAGATATACCGTTTTTGACCAGAGGAAAAAGCAAAGATTAGAAAAAGCAAAGATATTTACGGCCCGTCCACACGGCGGCGTGCGTTGAAGCTTCAACGCCTCTGCCCATTCACTGAAAGACGTCACGCTTTGCCGGACTGCATTGTGGTTCCGTCGCTTCGCGTTGCTCGCTTCAAAAGTAGAGCAATGTTCTACTTTTGAAGCTTCGACGGAAGCGTCAGCCAATCAAATCATATGCCAGTACAAGCTCTAGCCAATCAAACCGCGTGCTTGTGTGTCTGGGGCGGGAGATTCATGTGATTGGTTGTTGGTCGAGTTTCAGACACGCCCGCCGGCAAGCTTCAACGCACGCCGCCGTGTGAGGCGTGTGGCGCAGTGGTAGGGCCTTGGTGTTCGGATCAGGTTCAAAACCCACTGCAGTCAGCATGTCGTTGTGTCCCTGGGCAAGACACTTCACCCCAAATTGCTCCTGTGGGGATTGCCCACAGTATTGAGTATGTAAGTCGCTTTGGATAAAAGCATCTAACAAGTGACATGTAATGTGTGGACGCTGCGTTACTGTTGTTGAGTTGCCTGCATTAGTTAAAGTGTAAAAGGAGTGAGATTACAGTGATTTCCCCGTTAATCATGGGGTTTATTTTGGGGAGTTTTTCCTCGTCCGCTTCAATGGTCTAAGAACAGAGAGTGGTGTATACTGTACAGCCTGTAAAGACCCCTGAGTGTGATATTAGACAATACAAATACATCTGATGAATTGATATTCTTGCAGTCTCTGATTACAAGAGATTACACCTAAGATGAAAACCACAGCAAAGAAAAAGCTAAATGGGAAAACTTAAAGTGTCTGTAAGTGTCAGACAATAAAAGAAGTCTGTCACACTCTGAAATGTATTCTGCTCAGATCTCAAGCTTTATTAAAATCAGACATGAACTTCAGCAAACTCTTGATGCTCTGTTACACAACTTGCCTACAGACTTGTGTTAAAGGTCCCCTATTATACTGTTTTCCATCAATATATTACAGGTCTCAGATATATACAAAACATGTCTCTGAAGTGTTTGGCTCCAAACACCAAACAGATCATTGCAGCATCCCATAATCCCCTCTGTTTCAGCCCTGTTTCAAAAGTGCTGATTCTCTGTCTGTTACTTTAGATGAAAATAAGGAGCCCCTCCCCACGCCCCTCTGAGAGATATTTGGTTACAAAGAACACAATGGTGCTCTAGGAGGGGATTCAGGTGATAAGGTGGGGGGGGGGGTTACCTTGGTTGGTGATTGGCTAATGGTTACACAAGCCAACAAATCGTTATGACATCATAAAGTGGCCAAAATCTGATCAGCTCATTTTCAGACAGGTTTTTATATAAATGGATCAGGACAAAAAGAGAGAGAATCTTTGTTCCTGAAACTTTCAGAGTCTCTTTACACAGAGGGGACACATGTTGATGTAGAAGAGACATGAAGAAGAGGGACACATTGTGATGTAGAGAAGACATGAAGAAGAGGGGACACATGTTGATGTAGAAGAGACATGAAGAAGAGGGGACACTGTTTGATGTAGAAGAGACATGAAGAAGAGGGGACACATGTTGATGTAGAAGAGACATGAAGAAGAGGGGACACATGTTGATGTAGAAGAGACATGAAGAAGAGGGGACACATGTTGATGTAGAAGAGACATGAAGAAGAGGGGGACACATGTTTGATGTAGAAAAGACATGAAGAAGAGGGGACACATGTTGATGTAGAAGAGACATGAAGAAGAGGGGAACACATGTTTGATGTAGAAGAGACATGAAAGAAGAGGGGACACATGTTGATGTAGAAGAGACATGAAGAAGAGGGGACACATGTTGATGTAGAAGAGACATGAAGAAGAGGGGACACATGTTGATGTAGAAGAGACATGAAGAAGAGGGGACACATGTTGATGTAGAAGAGACATGAAGAAGAGGGGACACATGTTGATGTAGAAGAGACATGAAGAAGAGGGGACACATGTTGATGTAGAAAATACATGAAAAGTGGATTTTGCATAATAGGTGACCTTTAAGTGATTGGTCAAAAACAAAGACATCGCAGTAGACAAGCAGTGCAGTACCAGGGATGTAAACGTATATCTATGCCTGTTATGATCAGTAGTATCACACGTTTACTGTATTTTAATCAATTAAGAAGATAACACATACCTATACTTGTGTAGAAATGCTGATATTATAGGTCTTTCTCTATAAACCTCAAGAACAACAAAACAAACGTAATTGACTGTTGGAGAGTCAGAAACCCCTGCAGATCAATTATGCTAAACAGACACATGTAGTATACTGATGGGGAGAGATTACGTCTGAAAAATGTGCCTGATTTATTTTGTATCTGAGTGATTAGTAAGTATTTCAACTGGAAGTAATGAAACTGCAGTTAATTGCTTTTCCACACACGTCCGGCTCTTCTGGAGAGTCTTTTTTTAATGTTGTTTAGCTCACAGAGGTTGTGTCACTGCATCACAGTGATCCATACTAACGAAGAGGAGGAAGACCGTAGAGAGGGAGGAAAAGGACAGAAAGTCAAAATATGAGAAGCCAAAAGTGCAAAGAAAGAAAAAGCAGAGTGTGTCCATGAGCATGAAGATCGAACGCAGTCATTGGGGGACAGCAAAGAGGAGAGGAAGGTCTTATATATACAGAATGATGAGAGTTGGTCCACGAAAAATAAAGAAAAGCAAACCATTTATGATTCAAAGCCTTTTTTATTGTCACATGCACAACGGCTACGAGGTCGCTTTTGGCAATGAGCATCCAACAATGCAACGTACAGCAATATACGAACAGTAAGACATAAAAAAGGGAAATAAAATAGAGCAGGAGATATAATGGTGCAAGTAAAATGCACCATATATTTACATGTAAAAGAGTACAAGATAAGTATGTATATATATAAACACATGTATGGTAACACTTCACAGAGTCCGGTCTTATTGCCTGTGGGATAGAAATGTCCCTGAGTTGCATGTTTTCTCTCTAACCTTTAGACCACATGTGTCAAACTCAAGGCCCGGGGGCCAAATCAGGCCCGTGGTGGATTTAATTTCGGCCCGCAGGATCATTTTTAATCACTATTAGATCTGGCCCGCCGGTATATTGCACGCACACCTTCACTCAACCCTGAGGATCTCCTCAGCTCAGAGCCTGAGCCCAAACTTTGATGACCTTGCACCCAAGATGAGATGCCAAGTATCTGGCTTGAACTAGCATCACAGAGCAGCACACTGAGTTTACATGGATGTTTCCTTCTGCACTTTTTTTCTTGCGACAACAGGGCATGTTTGGTTTGTTCTTTGAGGGGAAT